ATTCTTGCAGACGGCACAGTTTCTTCAAGAACGGAATGACAACAGGTACAACAATACTAGCAAAATTTATCGCATTCCCTTAAAGGTGTATAATCAGTAAGTGGTTTCTGCATGAGTATTATCGCCTGATATGTTACGCGCAGTAGTCTATTCTGCCCGAGCATAAAGTCTAGAATAGAACCTGTGCAATAAAACACAAATGTCGATAGCTGGCTTGAAGTTATAACCTGAAATTCGTACAAGCTTCCGTGTCTGAAAGCTCGGTTAATGGCAAATTTATGACCATTCGGAAGACAGTGTTTTTCTCTGAAGATGAATTCATAAAAGTTAAACTCAAATTTGTCAAGTCATTCAGATACCGTTCAAGTGTTCAAGCAGTTTTGCCTCCGTGGCTGCATCATGCGGGAGCATTATGATTTAATAAGCATCTGATTCTTCCTAAACGAACTTAGTGAACCTTCTAAATGTCCGAGCTTCATTTTTAACTTTCTTCTAGAGAAAGAATCGCAGTCGTTACTACGCTCGGAGCATCATGTTTAATCTGCTAAACCAGATTTTAGAAATACATACGCTGATATTCTAAACTCACAAATTTTGCATTCCTTTGTTTTAATAAAGGACATGAGTTTACTCCTGCCAAGTTGAGGACAAAGAAGGAGAAAATGAGTCATCTTTTTGTTTGCTTTAATTTTGAAAAAAAAATGCCTATACACTGCTCCACTCTTCGTGCAATTCTTTGCCGTGTTGTGAGATGAGGAATTGGAATGGCAGAAGATCAAGTAGATGCCGCTATTTATTCTACAGACATGAGATGTAGATTTCTCTTTTAGTAAACATTTTGCTAATCGATGTATAAACTATCTCGTAACTAGCATTAGCCAAGTCAATAATGTTTATCTTCGTCAGTCTAATTATTATAGTCTGTTATAATGTACCGAGTCTGCTCAAAGTCCCATACAAGTTTTCAGAAAACCACCTTTGTACATATTTTATCATACTGGAAAAATTCAGGTGAAAGGTTCCGGTAAATGAGTTACTGAACTGTAAGTCATTCTGACGGACGGATTTCATTATCCGCCTTCAATTCATTGCTTAAAAAGGAGATGTTTACAGAGTTGCGTTATGTAAATTTGTTGCAGCTACTAAAAGTTCTGCACTGACGAGTATAATCATGTGACTGTAGGTAACTGGAATGTGGTTACTCAATTTTTTCTCACGTTTTGGTGAAGTAGCGAAAAAGTAATTTGACGATGTAAGCATTTCTTGTTCGTCTAATCCTTTGAACACAAAATTCATCGC